CAACAACAGCAGTAGCACTCGTCCTGCGCTGGTACCGTTTGATTTTAGACAGTCGCAGCCGCCGCCACCACTGCCTCCGTCAGAATTGGAGACACTAACTGTGGCTGAAGCAGTCATGCCCATCCCAACGCCGCAACCAAACACCAACGCCTCGGATACGAAACGGAGTGAGTCGCCACACTCCATTTCCATTTTCTGCCTACTATTGTAACCTTTTCTATTCATGTTTCTGTTTGGAAGGTTATCCTATTACGACAGTCGTTGAATACCCCGCCCCCCTGCACCAACGCTGGCGTAGTCAGGTGGACACGTTGTGTATCGGACTGCTATCAGGGACTTCGACAGCGGGCTTGCTATCTCAGGAACTTACTTAAACTTTTACCGGCTATAATAAAGACTGATCTAGTCGGCCTCCGTAATGTCCCGGATGTTGCCTCTCTGCGCGCAACGATCCGTGGCAGCACACCTGGACGGTTAAATCAATCCTGTTAGCCGGACCGTTAACGGAACTCAGTGGTTAGAGTGTTAGACTGATCAAGGCCCGAGAAATGAGACCCAAGACAGAGTGAAACAAGTGAGTTACATTGGCGGTCGGTGAACGTTCATCAATCAGTGCCAATATGTCCCGACCTAAACCGTCAAGACAACGAACTCGTGGTTCAATGGTTAGAATGTTAGATTCTGATCGAAAAGGTCGCGAGTTCGAGCCTCGGGTGGTGCACCATTTGGGGTTGGCCGACGACGGTTAATAAGCCAGAGAGGACCATTCCAGTCCCAGTCTCCCTTGTCTTTGCTGACAATACTGTCTGCCTAGACGAATAGCCGCTGCGGTTAGCACTCAGTGAACGTTCATCAACGAGGGTCATCCTATTTACACAGCCGTTGGATACCTCCCCCCCCCTGCACCAACGCTGACGTAGAACCCGGTTGGACTAGGGCAGTCAGGTGGACACGCATTCAGTATTATTTTGAAGTATTATCTGCCCATTTTTTGGTTTCTTGCCTCTGGTACCAAATTCATCAAACTTTTTTTGAGTAGGGCCGCCCATTGGCAAAAGTCTCTCAGTTCAAGTGCCTTTCAGCATTCATAGTAAAAAGTTCAATGCTTGATTAATGCGCGAGTAATTTTGTTACTGAACTAAAACCGTAGGTAAAAAGGTTGCGGAAAAGGCAAAAAAGACTTAAAAGAAGGCCTATTAGAACAACTTCTATTGGCTAACAATCAAGAAGGTGTTTGGATAGGCGAAAATTTGACTTTCTGAAACTTTGCAAGTAGTTTATTATTATTATTAATACTTTCCCTACCTTTTTTGTGCTGAACCAAGGAACCTTTGGGATCGAGGATTTCCAACCTCAGAGTTCTAGTCTTCAAAGAACTCTGACGTGGGGGCTAATAAGCGACCTATTGTTATAAGTGTAATGTGCATCCCTTTGTGTCCCTAACCAACGCGAGTTAATTCCTCTGTTTGTAACTCCCCTCCTCCTCCTCCACCCCCCCTTTTTTCGTGTTACACAGGGAAAGACGCTTCTTTTGAGCGGCTACCGCCGAAATCGCCGGGTCTACAGAAGGTGGTGAAACCTCGTCTGAACTTGGACCAGCCTGACAATATTGGTAAGTCCCTCCCAGTGGACAGTTTTCTTCAGGCCCATTCCTACCAACCTGACACGCAGTTTTTATTGCACTAATCGGCGCCGACGGTGCCTCAATGCGAGACAAAGGACAGGAGTCCTATTTAACCTGTTTTGAGTGTTGCAGGATATCCTACTTGTACTAGCCACCCCGGGCCTTTGTGGCATTCCCACTCCGTGAGATCTGAGTTGGAACTCGCCTTTGGCCTTCTGTACTCTTTTTGACACCAACCTCGGGTGGATGAGGGAGGATGGAGTGCGATAGATCCAGCGCAAGTCCACTGGCACTTAAGATTAATCTAGGCAGAAATCAGTGTCCTTT